ATCATCAGAACGATGGGATTTCAATTTTGACGTCGAATAAAACACATACATTTATCAAATCGATATTTCCTTGTAATTTTACTTGTTAACAAATTATAAAAAAGACGTTTCAAGAGTTATTTACATCTCCAAAATCTCAATATTTTTGTACCCCGCGCCACGTCCGTCCGGTCTTGTTAGGGAGCTACCATTTGATTTTTAGGGGGGGGGGGGGAGGGGGGGGGGGGGGGCTAGGATGACAAATTTTGTCCTGCATTTTTGTTAGTTGTAATCTCTGTCCTGCCTTTTTATTTATCACTCTAATCGGTCCTGCCTTTTTTTATTAGTTTATCCTGACTTTTTTTACATAAATTGTCATCCTGCCTTTTTTTTTCAAAGTTGCTCATCCTGCCTTTTTTTTTTACTCAAGACTCCAGTCCTGCCTATTTTTTTCAAATTTCATCCTAGCCCTTTGAAATATTGATTATATGGAAAATTGCATTGTTAGCACTCTCATGTGTACAATTCTTGCCAGATTTTTATGAAATTCATATTATAGGTTTATATCATCAATGTCTCTGACAAATTTGAAAATCAGTGCCGATCAATTATTTTATCCCTTGGAAATATTGATTATATGAAAAAATTGCATTGTTAGTGCAATTCTTGCCAGAATTTTATGAAACTTATATCGTAGGTTTATATCAGCAATGTCTTTGACACTTTCGAAAATAAGTACTGATCAAATATTTTTAGCGAGTTATGCCCCTTGGAAAAATTAATTATAACGGAAATCGCATTGCATTTGCTCTGACGCCTTCATTCATATTAATAAATTGTTTTAAGAACAAAAAAAAAAGTTTTTTTTTTTTAGTTATTGCCCTTGTTCCTTGGGTAGATAAAATATGTGCAATGCAGGGGACATTAGAACTATGTTCTTTTATTAAATCTAAGTTTGAAGTGTAATTTTGGCTGTGAATTGGTTATACAAAGTCCTGTCTAAATATGATTAATAGGAGCTCTTAAATGAAAATAACACCAAAAAAAAAAAACATTTGGTGTGTCATGATTGCTTTTCTGGATTCACTTTCATGAACAACGCATATGGTTTTTCAATCTATAGGTATCGGACTATCTAAAAGGACAAGTATTTGGAATCTTCAGCTTTTATTAAATTTGAATGGCAATTTTTAGTTTAAATCTTATGATTTAAGAGAAATTGATATGTTAAGGTAGCACTACAGTCAGAATTTTCTGACTCCAACCAACAGTCTTTAAAGATTAATTTTTCCAAAACTACTCAATGGAAATTTAAAATCTTTAACTCATTTTAAAGCTGAAATATAACTCTTTCTTAATCTATAGATAAATTTATTTTTGGTATGATTAATCTCAAAATATAGCTCATTAATTGCCAAAAAAGTGGTCTTCCAACTTGGATGAAAATGGCACATTCAGGTCAAATGGTAGTAAAAATTTGTTTTCATCCCTTTAATCAACCATTCACAATCTACAAAAGCGTGTCTCAGATTTTTGATATATGCCTCCAGTAATAAGATATATTATTTTTACTGCTGGATGCCAAACCTCATTTCACCTTTCATCTTTGGAGACCTATAAATTCATTTAGAAACAAATTATCCAAAAACTGGGACACGGTATTGTAGAAAATACTCCCTTCAATCACATATATCAAAGTCAAGCCAAAGGGGGGTACCAATAAAGTTTCTATTTTCATTTTTTCCTTACAATTCTCATGAAAAATTGTTCTGAGAAATGACCTTAAAACTGAATTTCCTCTTAAGAACCCCTATAAATGCCACATAAATACAAAAATTCCACTGGGAACACACCAGGAGTGTTCTGACACCATTACTTTATCAATTGAACCACACACATTGTGTCTTTGATGCTCTAATGCTGTAAAATTTGCATTTTGTGTGCACTGTATAACACTAACTTGGCATTTGGCGGGAGTTTGACGTCACAGATTTGACCAACATCTGTGATGTAGTAATTAAATAAAGACAAAGCTCCGCCTCTGTCCAGACAGTCTAAGATAAGAGAATAACAGGATTGGCCAGCTGCATCATAATTAATATTTAACATCATTATTTTCACTATAAAGAATAATTTTCATTTGAATTTTAAAAAGAAATATAATATGACGATGATGACTGAAATTAGCTAAAATATTAAAATTGTGCATTAAAAGACATGTCCATAAAAAGATCAAGACCATCCCCTTCTTGAAAATAGACTGTCCAACATGATTTATGAGTTTCATGGAATTAAAAAATTTCACATAAACTTAAAATTAGTTAAAATGCCTAAAATTATTTTTGAATGTAGAAGACCAAAGACGAGAAATTTATACAGGCAGTCAGAGGCTTTCAAAGATACTTTCACACTCTTTTCCATAGTTTTTTTTCATTTTGGTAGATTTTTTCCCTTTAATTTTTTTCCTATTCATATCTTTTTCTTTTTCTCTGTTCTAAACTTCCATGTTTTATAAATTAGTTTTGTTGCAATGCAATGAGATATTTATCTTGTGGTCAGGGATTAACAGCTGGACACTGGTATCAACAGATGATTGACATATTAGCCCCTCCCAAATGCCTATATATTTAGATTAATTACATGTGCTTTTATTCACATAAGTTCATTATCAATTTACTCCCTGTTGTGATATAATAATGACTTTGGGATTTTTACAAACTGTGCAGAATAATACTTACTTCAAAATTATGTGATAGAAAAAATATCTTCAAAAAATCATTGTTAGACTGTAGTGCTACCTTAAACGGGTTTCATAATGACCAAAAGGCACTTTCACATGATACATACAAATTTTAGAATTCTTATTTACCGGTAATTCACATAGCATTATTGTTATTGACTTCTTGAAAACAGGTTTGATAGTATTGATAGATTTTAAACAGCTTTCATAGTTTATGAACTGATGGGTAAAACAATAAAATTTTGATCCCTTTTTTCCTTTAATTCCTTATAAACATTCTCTCCATGAATTTGTAATCATTTTTTTTTTTATGATTCTAGTAGTTTTCCACCTAGAATTGTAAAAGGGTCTGAATCTATCCTGGTATCTATAAGAAGACAGCTGAAAATTTCATCTATGCTGACTTATTTGCAGGTCTTGTCTTGCTGATTATTTTTGCTTTCTTACAATAATAGACAAAATACTAAGCAAAACTATAATAAATTGGTAACAATAATCATTAAAGGGCGATAACTCAAATAAGCAATTTCAGCAATGTTTGACTTACTTGTATATCTTATCTTGCTGATCATTTTTGAAAAGTTTCTATCTTTCTATTATAGTTTCAAAATAATAGGCAAAAAATTCTAAAAAAATGTAAAATAAAATCATCATTAAAGGGCAAATACTCCAATTGGAAGTCCACTTCCAATTTAGGATATGTCTACTTGTTTTTAGATCATGTTTTGCTGATCATTTTTGTCGAGCCTGCGACTTTTGTCGCAAAAGCGAGACATAGCGATCCTACATTCCCTTGACATCTATCAATAACTCCTGAACAATTCTGCCCTGTCAAATTTTTCTATCTATAGCTGCTTTCAAGATATAAGACATTACTTTCCCCCTCTGTTCTATTATTAGCCATGTTAGCCATGTTGGTTGACAGGCAGTATCATTAGACACATATTTTTAAACTAGATACCCAAATAGTAATTGTGGCCAAGCTTGCTTGAATTTGGTCTAGTAATTTCAGAAGAGATGAGTTTTGTAAAAGTTACAGGACGACCACAATGGATGCCAAATGATATGAAAAGCTCACTTAAAACGGCTTTCATTCAAATTTTCATTTTCTATTTTTCCCTGTTTGGGATCAAAGGGAAGGAAATTGAACATTTTGTTTATGTCAAATAGAATTTTGTAAATAACCCATCAGCTGTTTTTTTTTTCAAAATAGCATTGCATCTAATATCTTCCAAAAAATTAACCTTCACAATTTCAGGTGGTTGTCACATCATCTGTCAGTGAAGTTGTAGCTACATGTAATGATCACTTCTGTCATCATCATACATGTCACATTTTATGTTAATCTAGAACTATTTATAATGGCTTGACAGAATTAAACCAATGCTACAGAGGTTCTTTACCAGGCAAAGTTGTGTTATTGCTACTTTAATTTTTTAGTAGATTTATTTTTGGGGTGTTCCTTACCAATTTTGCGAGTTTCACATACCAAAACAAAGACTTCACCATATCTGTTAATACTATTCGGAGACAGTATTTCAGTATGTGACACACATACTTTTTCAATCTTGAAATACATCTTTCATTCAAACAAGATGATCTCAGTTTAGACAAAAATATTCATTTATTGTGAAACTCTTCCTTTGTTTTGAAAAACAATTCTAACAAGAACTTTTTTCTATAAACAAGACAACTTTGAGATGAAGAACAGAAATAAAAGCGCTGCTCCCTTGCTATCTATTCGGTTTTTTTCTGAGCATGTACTGATTTTGTGTCATGAATGGATACCCCATATCCTTTGTTTATCTTTCTTTATATATAAATATTAAACACCATATTTATTTTAATTTTAAATCTAAAGATCAAAATTATATTCTTTCATACACATCTCTTGAAAACCATTCGACTCCTGTTAACCATGTTAATTTTATATAGGAAGGCCTGTTTGTTTCCAGACCATAAGTACTTATAAAATGAATTCAATTAAAAACAGGGAATCTTAGAACAAAGAAATTTTGAATTGATACAAAGGAATAGCTATTTCCATTTCTTTCTGAAAATCTACATTAATGTTGTCTGTTAAATAATGTAAGTACTGAACTTAACCTAATTCCATAATAGTAACTAGTGTTTGCTAAGATCTTTAATCAATATTCCAGGCATCACCAACAGCTAAAAATTCATTCCTTTTGTGAGTTAATGTGATGATGGTTTGCTGTCTCATTAATGAATACCAAATTTTGTATTTTTTCATATCTTTTCAGAAAAATCAAAATCATGATGATTTATGGCACTTTTATTTTATACACCGGGTTACATCTATCAGATGTAAAATATTCATTTAATTCACATTTGCATATATTAGGAGGATTACTATATAGAGTATGTGAAAGTTTTTGAAATAATGGAACACAGTTTATTAGTCCAGCTTGTCGTAAATTATTTTTCATTTGTGTAAATTTCTCTAGAATTTCTGGATCACTATTTCTTTTGACCATATCATTCAATGCATTCAGCTGAAATAAAAAAAAAACATTTAGTAATGCCAAAAAATATTTAGTACCTTATTAAAAAAAATCTTGCAATAAATGTTTTCATATGCTAGTACATAATAATAAACTTTTTTTTAAAGTATATATCACGTCATCAACTAGACATTAGAAATTGAATCTTTGTAAATGCAGAGGTGAAAATTGTTTTTAATTTTTTTCTTTCACTGAACATATTACCATTTGCAATTGTATATCATTTCTAAGAAATACTTTTTAAAATGTTCCAATAACAAAATGTTTAAATATTGCTAATGACCACTGGCTCCAATAATGAATTATGTCTCTACAATGACTATACAATGCCCATATAAAAATGGTGTGACACTGATGATGATGTGATAAATCTGTCAACTAAATACTTTTGATAAAGGGAGGTCTCCCACTTTGGAGGTTTCAAAAGTTCGCATCCATGAACTAATCAATACAAAAAGTTGCACTAGTTGTCATGCTAAGCATATTCCCACTCATAACTCAAAGTATCATCAAACAAGAAGGTGTTGACAGTCCTTGGTAATCTACTGAACAAATATAAAGTCATTCTGTTCAGAAGTTCCTGAGAAAAGGTGACAAAATTAACTTTTTTATTCAACTTATGGAAAATTCAAGTATCTGCAAACAGAAAATAAGTGTAGGAGGAGTAATACCACCATTGATTTTCCCCTATTAGTCTTTGTTAAATTAGCACTTTTCAAAAAAAAGTGCAGAATTTATCTTTGTTTCAAATAAATAAATACTTAGCATGAATAAAGTTTTATCCTGTCCAGTACTATAGACAAAAATTTACAAAACATTTCATTAAGGAATGACTGTAATATTTTTTCTGTCTATGAAGAAATAACATCAAGAATGTGGTGCACACTGAATAACCTGCGTAGCGAGTTATTTTAAAGTGTGCACCACATTTTTTATGTTATTTCGAATAGACACAAAAAATATTACAGTCATTTCTTATAATTTAATTCTAAATTCCATTTTAAACCGGAGTAAACCATGAAAAAACTTTGATGACGTCACAGTCACATGACAAAATCATGTCTATGAGCTGATAAACAAAACAACGTCAGCCAATCAGAAGACACGTTACATCCAAAATTAAATTATTTGCATAAAATAACCATCACTGGAAGTTAACCAATCAAATTTTAACCCCTTTTTTTCCTGTTTACAAGCTTTAGTAACCATGATGATGTAACCTCAAGTTTCCAAAATATTTTATACAAACAATCAATAAAAATGTGTTCCGCCTGGAGCAGCTGGATAGGACCACAGAAGTCGAACTATGAACCGTTTGGGCAAGTATGGACACAATATTCAAGCTTGATACAACTCTGAATTTGGATAGTGATTAAATATTTGACACATTATAGATTTCTGATACAGAAAAAATGTGATCAGATAACTTAACTAGAAGCTCTCAAGAGCATGTGTCGCTCACCTGATTCTAGTTTGGTTTTGGAAATCATGTTAAAATAGATTAAAATCATAACAGATACCCTAATAATGAGTGAGGCCAAATTTGGTTTAATATTAGCCCTGTAATTTAATAAAAATCCTGGTGGCCATCTTGAACAGTAAATCAGCAGCAAAGTAGCAACACTTCATCAGCACCTCATAAGAAACATTTATGCCATGTTTGGTTTCATTCCATTCAGTGCACCTCTAGAAGAAGCATTTGTATGTATTTCCAATAGGGTCTTATGTTAAAGGAAGTCCCCCCGCTGGCGGCCATCGTGGATGAAGGAAGAAGACATTTGTATGTATTGTCCATAGGGTCCTTTGTTAAACACTGTCCCAAGCTGGTGGCCATTTTGGATGATGGATCGGCTTCAAAGTAACAACACTTGGTCAGCACTTCATAAGGACATTCATGCCATGTTTGGTTTCATTTCATTCCATTCAGTGGTTCTCTAAAAGATGACATTCGTATGAATTTCCCATAGGGTACTATGTTAAACTAAGTCACCCGCTGGCGGCCATCTTGGATGATGGAATCGGCTTCAAAGTAACAACACTTGGTCAGCACCTCATAAGGAACATTCATGCCATGTTTGGTTTCATTCCATTCAGTGGTTCTCTAAAAGAAGACATTTGTGAATATTTCCCATAGGGTCCTATGTTAAACTAAGTCCCCCGCTGGCGGCCATCTTGGATAAAGGATCAGCTTCAAAGTAACAACACTTAGTCAGCACCTCACAAGGAACATTCATGCCATGTTTGGTTTCAATCCATTCAGTGGTTCTCTAAAAGAAGACATTTGTATGTATTATCCGTAGGGTCCTTTGTTAAACACTGTCCCCAGCTGGTGGCCATTTTGGATGATTGATTGGCTTCAAAGTAACAAAACTTGGTCAGCACTCCATAAGGAACATTCATGCCATGTTTGGTTTCATTCCATTCAGTGGTTCTCTAAAAGAAGACATTCATATGTATTTCCCATAGGGTCCTATGTTTAACTAAGTCCCCCGCTGGTGGTCATCTTGGATGATGGATTGGCTTTAAAGTAACAACAACTTGGTCAGCACCTCAAAAGGAACATTCATGCCATGTTTGGTTTCATTCCATTCAGTGGTTCTCTAAAAGAAGACATTCATATGTATTTCCCATAGGGTCCTATGTTTAACTAAGTCCCCCACTGGTGGCCATCTTGGATGATGGATTGGCTTTAAAGTAACAACACTTGGTCAGCACCTCAAAAGGAACATTCATGCCATGTTTGGTTTCATTCCATTCAGTGGTTCTTTAAAAGAAGACATTTGTATGTATTTCCCATAGGGTCCTATGTTAAACTAAGTCCCACGCTGGCGGCCATCTTGGATGATGGATCTGCTTCAAAGTAACAACACTTGGTCAGCACCTCATAAGGGAGATTCATGCCATGTTTGGTTTCATTCCATTCAGTGGTTCTCTAAAAGAAGACATTTGTATGTATTTCCCATAGGGTCCTATGTTAAACTAAGTCCCCCGCTGGCGGCCATCTTGGATGATGGATCAGCTTCAAAGTAACAACACTTGGTCAGCACCTCATAAGGAACATTCATGCCATGTTTGGTTTCATTCCATTCATTGGTTTTCTAAAAGAAGACATTTGTATGTATTTCCCATAGGGTACTATGTTAAACTAAGTCCCACGCTGGCGGCCATCTTTGATGATGGATCGGCTTCAAAGTAACAACACTTGGTCAGCACCTCATAAGGGACATTCATGCCATGTTTGGTTTCATTCCATTCAGTGGTTCTCTAAAAGAAGACATTTGTATGTATTTCCCATAGGGTCCTATGTTAAACTAAGTCCCACGCTGGCGGCCATCTTGGATGATGGATCTGCTTCAAAGTAACAACACTTGGTCAGCACCTCATAAGGGAGATTCATGCCATGTTTGGTTTCATTCCATTCAGTGGTTCTCTAAAAGAAGACATTTGTATGTATTTCCCATAGGGTCCTATGTTAAACTAAGTCCCACGCTGGCGGCCATCTTGAATGATGGATCTGCTTCAAAGTAACAACACTTGGTCAGCACCTCATAAGGGAGATTCATGCCATGTTTGGTTTCATTCCATTCAATGGTTCTCTAAAAGAAGACATTTGTATGTATTTCCCATAGGGTCCTATGTTAAACTAAGTCCAATGCTGGTGGCCATCTTGGATGATGGATTGGCTTCAAAGTAACAACACTTGGTCAGCACCTCATAAGGAACATTCATGCCATGTTTGGTTTCATTCCATTCAATGGTTCTCTAGAAGAAGTTCAAAATGTAAAAAGTTAACGACGCTGACGGACGCCAAGTGATGAGAAAAGCTCACTTGTGAGCTAAAAATTTGAAATGGGAAATTTAATCTACTTAATGGTCCAATATCCAAAATTTAATTCCATGGTTAGATTCAGCATATAAAAAAAAACAACACGAATTCAAACAAGGTTTAATTTTGGACCCTTTGGACCTTAATATGGACTAATTTGAAAACATGGCCCAAAATTAAAAATCTGAATGCACAGTTAGATTCAGCATATCATAGAACCACAAGAATTCAGTTTTTGATGAAATCAAACAAAGTCTAATTTTGGACCCTTTGGACATCAATGTAGACCTATTTAAAAATGTCCAAATATCCAATATAGTAATAAATGGTAAAACCTCAAACAATTCAAGATTTTAAATTAATCCTCATTGATTAAAAGATTTGTATTTATTATCAATTGAAGATTTCTTGCTGTTGTGCAATACTTTGCTGTTGCGCAATACTTAGTAAATCTGTTTACAAACTAAATATAATAATTTACACACCCTGTTTGGTGTGTATCTCCTGCCATATCAGTATTTGTTGTTTCTTTATATAGATCAGAAATAATTTATGTTAGAACCAGCTTAGCCAGTATTAGAAAAGTCTTGTTTTTGGCCCCTATTTGGCCTCTAGTTTCTTAACAATTAATGCCACAACCCACAAAATCGACCCCAACCTTCTGTGTGTGGTATGGAACCTTGTGGTACAATTTCATAGAGATCCATTGACTAATACTTAAGTATTTGTCCGGAAACCAGAAAAACCTTGCCCTTTTTTGACCCCTAATTCCTAAAGAGTTCGGACCATAACCCCCAAAATCAATCCCAACCATTGCCAACCTTCCTTTTGTGCTATTGAACCTTGTGGTTAAATTTCATAGAGATCCATTCACTTATACTAGAGTTATTGTCCTGAAACCAAATGTCTTCGAACGACGACATGATAGCATTATACGAACGCAAATTTTTTGCGGTCGTATAAAAAAGATTGGTGATCTGACACACCCAAGATATATGTTTATGACTCATAATTTTTTTTCTGCAATGAAATACAGGGTTAACTTCCTACAACTCTCAAATTCAAGGGAATATTTTTTTTCTACCCTTTTTCGTATGAAACCTTATGTGACGTACTATGGTATTACACCTAGGACAGTTTGAAAAAGCATTGACACATTACAACTCATTTTGTCAAGCTGCTGAACAAATATGCAGTCATTCTGTTCAGTAGTTCCTGAAAAAAGAGTGACTAAAATAATTGTTGGACATAGGGAGGGACAATGTGATTGCAATAACCCCGACTCATAAATGCAAGATTTTAAATTAATATTTGTGATGTAAAGTGTTGAGACAGTAATCCTATTGAGCACATGTATAATGATTCCAAACTTACACATTCTGGGTATATTCTAATTGGCTTTTTATAGGTTCCACCTATCTGATTATGGAACAAATCTAACATTTGAAATGCTTCATGAACTTTGTCTAATTTCGCAAGTGCCATAACCTGAAATAAACCGCAAAACAATTATTAATGGTACATTCATCATTATTTGAAGCAGTTCAACAATTTCTGTGTAATTTGATTCAATATGAGTTTGTGAACCAATTAATTGATATGATTTCCTATTGTTTACACTTGTGAAGAGATATGTAAACTAGAGGCTTCAATGAGCCTGTATTGCTCACCTGGCATTTTTGCATAAAATTGATACAATGCAATGAGACTATTATCTTAGTTAATTCTAGATCCTGCTGATGATTTTTGTTATGTACAGTTTCTCTCTATCTACTACATTTTCCACCAAAAAACAACATAAAAATTGGTAAACATTGTCACAGAAGGACAATGTCTCTCATAATGAGTAAACTAATGATTTCTGCTATATTCACCAATTTGTAGGTCTTATTTTGCTGATTACTTTTGCTAGTACAGTTTCTCTCTATCTACTAAAGTTTAAGTACAAAACACAAAATTAGGTCAGTCAAAGTCTTAAAGGCCGTGTTGCAATATTTGTGACTAAATTTTGCTTAAAATGACTAGGTTCCCAGATCTGGAAAAATGGGAAAACATTCCTCAATCAATTCTATACTAGAAGGTGTACAACTTCAACATATATACAATCATTATATATTTTGGATTCTATTTTAATGGTTAAAATGTATTATTTCAACAGTACAGTTCATGTTGCAGATCTGTTTTTTGGATGCCATCTTGGTACCATAGAAGCCTATTGTAAACATGGGTTATTCTGGTTAGCAAATGAAATTGCTACTTTTATAGTTTATTCCCTATATAGGGAACTCAACTATCTACTTTGTGAATAAATAACACCTTTCAGTTGTATAATCAGAGAACAGAACATAAAAAAGGGACAAAAAGAATCACTACTTTAACTTATACTTACTCTTATAGCTGAGTTTATATTATTTATGGAATGACTTTCAGAACCAAGCTGTAGAATATTCAATGCCAGATTAGGATCATCCTGAAACAAATGTCACAATAGTTCATATAGTATTATATCGTGAAACAAATGATGCAATAGTTCATATAGTATTAGTCTAAAATGATTCAATATTGTACATTCTTCTATGTAACTATAGTTATTCCATTGACTGGAATAAAATGGGGAGGGAGTTGGAAATTTTGCTCTTTAAAAATTTGGTGTTGATGTCAGAACTTCAGAAGTAGGGTTAACCTCAATAAGTATTTTCACAATGTCAACATCAAGGGGAAATCAAATGTCGACATATGTATAGACATGTTGAAAGCCTAAATATTCACATCTACATGTCTTTCTGGTTTTATTTTGTTGTTAAGATGCTGTACATGTCTATTCATGTATACCAAAATCTTCAATATGATTTTTTGTTGAGCCTCATTGGTTCAATTAGATAAGTTTCATTTTAGCATGTTTTTTTTTAAATAATATAATTCTTGTTCTGTAGTTTCAACATAATTATAGAATAATTCGGAACGACACAAATGGACCTGCTCCCAAAAAAAGCTTGAAGCCATTTCTAAGAGTGGAAATTTGAGAATGAAAGTCTGTATAACTGTTATTTTCACAGTCCAAAGCTGTAATTTCAGCAAAAAATCAATGGAAGGAACCAAATGTAAACTCGATCTGTAACTCCTCAGTGGGAAATCTAGTGACAAAATATTACCTCCCCTGTAAACACTGAAAACTAGATCTTCTCAATGTTTGTCCCATTTTAGCAAGGACGCTATCAATTATGGATTCACGGAAAAACGTTCTGCTAAATAGTTATAAAATGCTCCCTGGGCGCAGATAGATACGACCGCAGAGGTCGAACCCTGAACAGTTGGGGCAAGTATGGACACAACATTCAAGCTTGATACAGCTCTGAATTTGGATTGTGATTAAATATTTGACACAGCATAGGTTTCTGACACAGAATGAATGTGGTCTAAGAACTTAAAAAATTTAAATTTACCTATTCAAACCATATCATTATTATTTGCTTTTATATATAAATCAGAAATAACCAACTTAAAATGGAAAATTTTAAAGAAAAAAAAAAGGAAAAAAAAAGGAAAAAAAAAAAAAAAAAGGGAAAAAAAATCCCCCCCCCCCAAGTTTTTTGAACCCCTTATGATTCATCACCCCAAACTCAATCCCAGCCTTCCCTTTGTGGTATGGTACCTTGCAGTACAATTTCAGAGAGATCCATTCACTTGAACACAAGTTATTGTCTGGAAACTAGAAAAAAAGCTTATTTTTTGGCCCCAAATTCCTAAACGTTTAGCGCAATTACCCCCAAACTCAAACCCAGCTTTCCCTTTGTGATTTGGAACCTTGTAGTACAATTTCAGAAAAAACCATACACTTACACACAAGTAATTGTCATGAAACTAGAAAAATGCTTGTTTTTTGCCCCTTTTTGGCCCCTAATTCCTAAAATTTTGAGGCAATTACCCTCAAAATCTATTCCAGCCTTCCCTTTGTTGTATGGTACCTTGCAGTACAATTTCAGAGAGATCCATACACTTGAACACAAGTTATTGTCTGGAAACTAGAAAAATGCTTATTTTTGGCCCCTTTTTGGCCCCTTATTCCTCAAGGTTTTGAGCAATTACCCCCAAACTCAATTCCAGCTTTCCCTTTTTGATATAGAACCTTGTAGTACAATTTCAGAAAGATCCATACACTTACACACAAGTTTTTGTCATGAAACTAGAAAAATGCTTGTTTTTTGCCCCTTTTTTGGCCCCTCATTCCTAAAATTTTGAGGCAATTACCCTCAAAATCTATTCCAGCACTCCCTTTGTGGTATGAAACCTTGTGGTACAATGTCAGAGAGATCCATACACTTGAACACAAGTTATTGTCTAGAAGTTACAAAAATGCTTATTTTTGGCCCCTTTTTGGCCCCTAATTCCTTAACTGTTGATACCATAACCCCCAAAATCAATTCCAGCTTTCCCTTTGTGATATAGAACCTTGTAGTACAATTTCAGAAAGATCCATACACTTACACACAAGTTATTGTCATGAAACTAGAAAAATGCTTGTTTTTTGCCCCTTTTTTGGCCCCTCATTCCTAAAATTTTGAGGCAATTACCCTCAAAATCTATTCCAGCACTTCCTTTGTGGTATGGATCCTTGTGGTACAATGTCAGAGAGATCCATACACTTGAACACAAGTTATTGTCTGGAAGTTACAAAAATGCTTATTTTTGGCCCCTTTTTGGCCCCTAATTCCTTAACTGTTGGTACCATAACCCCCAAAATCAATCCCAACCTTCCTTTTGTGGTATTGAACCTTATGGTAAAATTTCATAGAGAACCATTCACTTAAACTATGTGCGAAAACCAATGTGTCTTCGGACGATGACGACGACGAGGCCAACTTCATACCAATATACGAATAAAAATAGAAATAAATTGAAATAAAAACAAAACTTCCACTCAATGTTATCATTTTCCTCCTTAAGTAGCAAACGACGAGTACAGCAGGCTATAGATGCTTGGAGTAAAATTGGTTTAAAATGTTGCTATGCGAATAAATTCCTGGAGTACCAACTTCAATTTTTTTTTTTTTACCGTCTGTATACCTCTCTGGAACATGCTAATTATTCGTATATATATATATATATATATATATATATATATATATACATACATATATATATATACAGCTAGATCAGAGAGAGTCAGTGAAAAACATCCAAAGGAATCGATTTATATGCAGCAAAGATTGGCACTTTTGAAACTAAGTTACTAAGCAAAATCAAACAGACCTTATCTCGATGTAAACATAGAATTTAAATAGATCAAGAAGACCGCAAATACTTGTACAAAACTCGAGACAACCTATTCTTAAAATTGTATACAAAATAGTAGAAAGATACCTACTTTATAAAAATAGTTTTCTTTCATTTTTTAACCTGCACAGACAGACTTTAAATGTTAATATTCACGAAAAGACAATAGTTCTCTATTGAATGTACATGTGACAAGAGCAGACCAGTGTGCTCGATAGCTTAGGTGTAAAAAAATAAGCATACTGTAGGAAATTGTAACATGCTAAGGACTTTTTGGAACACTCAGAAAATTGGTGACTCGAAAGATCTTTTGATTTTGTATGTACATGATTTATTCCAATTTTTTTTATCAATATGCAGCAAAGATTGGCAGTTTTTAAATTTCAGTTTCACAAGCTTCTAAAACAATTATCTCGATAAATACTGAACATAAAACATCGTGTATTTGCATGTATATTTCTAATAACACAGTTTAACAAATAATTTCTTTAAAATGTACAATTATTATTTAGAAATAACTTTTGATCAGCATCGTCACCGGTATTGTTTTATTATTGACTTTCTCGACTCTATCATAAGAAGAGTGAATTTTCTTTTGTTTTCATTCACTGGATATCCCACTGTCCTCATGGTAGACCAACAAAAAATCAGCTCAATATGTGAAGGCGTTTAAAAGTCTGTATAACTGTTCGTTGCGGAATGATGGAATAACAGAATGACAGAATCTGAATGAAGGATATGGGTAAAACTATATGGCCCCGACAACTTTGCTGCAAGGCCATAAAAAAGTTTCTACCAGTGACTGAACAAAAAATTAATTCACGAATGTGCATAGCGCTTGAGTTAATTATTATTATTATACTTCACGTTAAAATGCCATATTTTGATTGGCTAATACGAGGGTGTTAATTTACTCTATTACCCTTCATGGAGACGCTTGATCAAGTGTGCGCTTTATTAAATACGACTCTATCCTATGGCAAATACTCTATTACCCTTCACGGAGACGCTTGATCAAGTGTGCGCTTTATTAAATACGACTCTATCCTATGGCAAATACTCTATTACCCTTCACGAAGACGCTTGATCAAGTGTGCGCTTTATTAAATACGGATGGTTGTTATGTACAAGACATCATAGTTTATTACATTGAATTTGAAATTTAATCGACAGTAATAACAGAACATTCAGTATAATAAATTAAATAACACATATCTGAGAGGGTGATAGAGCAGATTGTTACCCCTCGAAAAGACATTGTCAACCTTGGCTTCGCCTCAGTTGACAATGTTTTCTCGGGGTAACAATCTGCTCTATCACCCTCTCAGCTATGTGTTATTTATATAGTGTTGTTTGGTAACAAGTTGAATATTTTTGATATTTGATACATGACATGCTGCTAAAGAGTTACATCTGTATTATTATACCTGTCTTAATGCTAAAGCTGCAGCAAATGCTCGTGCCTTTGGTGGTGTCACAGTTATATCCTGTAAATATTTGTCACGTATGATTTCAACAGCTTTCTCCAAAGCTTCCTGTGTATTCTAAAAAAAAAATGAATACTGTAACAAAATCAAAGTAAAAGAAAGCAAAAATCACAAATTCTCTTTCATGGCATTTCTATTATGTATGCAAGTCTGTGAGGAATTACTCATTGAAAACTCATTGGTTTTACCGAGTGATTCTGAGTACATTGTACTTGCTTGGTAAAATATCTCAAAAATGAGAACACAAATTGTGCAACAATGGATCAGGAATAACTCAAACAATTAGTGCTGATGTGTTTGCATTACATATTGTAATTTACCAGTAACATTTTTATGTGATCGTCGCCACTTTCTGTCTCATACATCCAATCAAAAATGAAATTGAATCAATGTTGTCAGTCATGTGTAACCATTTGCTTTGTAACTATCCTCATGACCGTTAAATTACTAACATTTTTGAAAGTTTTTATTGGTGACAGTACCCCCTCACCCCTTTTCCCCTCTCCCTTTACCCTGCCTGAAAAATTACTTAATCAGCCCCTGACAATTACATGTACTGTGAAAGTACTTTTGTGGGGTACCAATTTTCGTGGTTTTCATATGAGGCCTTATCCAAGAATTTAAGTGTCCAACGAAATATAACATCTGTTGTACATATCAAGACAGAAAAATCCCCATGTAGTTTTGACTACATGCATATGGATACGAGTATATAATCTAGAAAACACATCGAATATCAGCAAACTCATTTAATATAAACTATACATACAACTTTAGACAGGATTTTACCCATTTAATCTTTGAAAAAAATATACTGTACGACTTTTAACCTTTAATTTCCTAGAAAAACTTGTTTTTGATCGATGAAATTCAGACATCCGGTGATGATATGCGATGATGAAGTGTTCATTTTATCTCCCCATAATTCTCATACGAAAAAAAATATAATTTCATATTAGGCTTGCTCTTTTATTTCATAAGAATTAATTCAATTAAAGAACATTGTAGCGTTCTTTTTATTTAACGGTTTTCTTTAAGTGACATGTTTATGGCCCAATTAACACCTTTGATGATAGTTAATCTGTTGATCATTCGATCTCTGGTTAATTAATGTCACCACTTCTGATTACACGTGTGCAACAATTAAAATGTTTACTTTGCAATTTCCTTCAATCGAGACAATTTGTAAGCATAGATTAATCAGCTTTTTTCCGAAAGCAATTATTTTATTAAAAATTTGATGAATGTTGTCAGTAATGAAAGACAAACAAGTAAGTGAAAATAAACACCTTATTTTGCAATGTCCCACAAATTATTATAAAACAACATATGATTATTTTCAAGAACCTTTGTTTCTGCACGATGGCTTCACATTCTTCACTCGATTTGTTTTTCAGAAAACTAAAATCCACAAATTCAAGAACCCACGAACATATAACTTTTGCTCAAACCACAAAAATTGATACCCACGAATAAAAGTACTTTCACAGTATGCACATTTAAGGCTTCATAGGCTGTACTTCTTTTTAAACGTGAAAAACAATAAAATACTTACTAAATTATATAAAGCTGCCATGACCAGTGTCATATGATTTGTAAGTTTTTGTTCATTAAAATAATCTATTTCTTCATAGGTTTTCACAACTTTCTCATATTCTCCTGTCTTGAATAGAAGATCCATATACACATCAATCACAGAGTTGTTATACAGAAAGTTCCTCATGGTGGACTGAAAAATGTAGACATCATTATTCATAATTTGTTTTAATACATTTCATCGTTATTTTTCTTACTGTTATTTGTTCATTATCTGTGGTGCTTTAATTATTTTTTTTGCTCAAATTTTATAAATACCATGGTGCTTTGGCTTTGCTTCAATTCCTTTTAGACTAGCTGTTGTCAGACACCAACATACACAGTTAGTTAACAGCATAAAACAAGGTATGCTCCAACCAAGTTTTTCTATTACCAGAATGCAATTTTTGTAATAAAAAATTTGGAAAACATTCATCGAAATAATAATATAGCCACAGACTTTAAAAATTCAAGGTATATGCTTGATAACAGAGGTAAGTTAAGTTGATAATCCTATATAACTTAAGCAGTCATGTCATCAGAAGATAAATTCAAAAAGCTATTTCTGTTGTTTTCATATCATTTAAGTTTTTGCTATAACAGATATATAATTAATGCATTTTTCAGATTTCGAGCTCCAACTCGAGAAGACCTTCAGTTATTTATTCCAACCTCTATAGCATATTATTTTGAATGGTGGTCATTCTAGCATTATTAGAAATAAAAACTTGAGCAATTTTTCAATATGTTAAATGAAAATTTGAGTATGCTTTCACAAATCCTTGGAAAACCTACACATTTTGTTATTCAATAAAATATACCAGTACATGTAACATCCACTCTCACTGATTTGTGAATGTACCCTGTATTTCTGATACAGCTGTTTATAATATGTATATGATAGAGATTAAAGACTATACTGCATTGCTAGAAATATACAGAATTGGGTGTTACTGGCAGATCTTTGATTGTTTCTGTTAATTTTATTCACAACTTTTATAAATTGACTAATTATTTAACAAACTAAAATAATAATCATTTAACAAACTTAAAGACTAATTGTTTGACAAACAAAAAGACTAATCGTATGCCAAACTAAAAGACTAATTGTTCACAAACAAAAAGACCAATTGTTTGACAAACGAAAAATTTAATTGTTTGACTGACAAAAAGACTAATTGTTTAACAAACTAAAAGACTAATTGTTTAACAAACTAAAAGACTAATTGTTTAACAAACTAAAAGACTAATTGTTTGACATACTAAAAGACTAATCGTTGGGCAAACTAAAAGACTAATTGTTTGACAAACTAAAAGACTAATTGTTTGGCAAACTAAAAGACTAATTGTTTGACAAACAAAAAGTTTAATTGTTTGACTGACAAAAAGACTAATTGTTTAACAAACTAAAAGACTAACTGTTTGACATACCAAAAGACTAATTGTTTGATGTACTAAAAGACTAATTGTTTGGCAAACTATAAGAATAATTGTTTGACATACTAAAAGACTAACTGTTTGACAAACTAAAAGACTAATTGTTTGACAAACTAAAAGACTGATTGTTTAACAAACTAAAAGACTAATTGTTAGACAAACTAAAAGACTAATTGTTTGACAAACTAAAAGACTAATTGTTTGGCAAACTATAAGACTTATTGTTTGACAAACTAAAAGACCGATTGTTTAACAAACTAAAAGACTAATTGTTTGAGAAACTAAAAGATTAATGGTTTGACAAACTAAAAGACTAATCGCTTGGCAAACTAAAAGACTAATTGTTTGACATACTAAAAGACTAATTGTTGACAAACTAAAAGACTTAATTGTTTGACAAACTAAAAGACTAATTGTTTGATGTACTAAAAGACTAATTGTTTGATGTACTAAAAGACTAATTGTTTGGCAAACTATAAGACTAATTGTTTGACAAACTAAAAGACCAATTGTTTGACAAACTAAAAGACTAATTGTTTGAGAAACTAAAAGATTAATGGTTTGACAAACTAAAAGACTAATCGCTTGGCAAATTTAAAGACTAATTGTTTGACATACTAAAAGACTAATCGTTTGATGTACTAAAAGACTAATTGTTTGGCAAACTATAAGACTAATTGTTTGACATACTAAAAGACTAATTGTTTGACAACTAAAAGACTAATTGTTTGACAAACTAAAAGACTAATTGTTTGACAAACTAAAAGACTAATTGTTTGACAAACTAAAAGACTAATTGTTTGATGTACTAAAAGACTAATTGTTTGGCAAACTATAAGACTAATTGTTTGACAAACTAAAAGACCAATTGTTTAACAAACTAAAAGACTAATTGTTTGACAAACAAAAAGACTAATCGTATGACAAACTAAAAGATTAATGGTTTGACAAACTAAAAGACTAATCTCTTGGCAAACTAAAAGACTAATTGTTTGACATACTAAAAGACTAATTGTTTGACATACTAAAAGACTTAATTGTTTGACAAACTAAAAGACTAATTGTTTGATGTACTAAAAGACTAATTGTTTGGCAAACTATAAGACTAATTGTTTGACAAACTAAAAGACCAATTGTTTGACAAACTAAAAGACTAATTGTTTGAGAAACTAAAAGATTAATGGTTTGACAAACTAAAAGACTAATCGCTTGGCAAACTTTAAGACTAATTGTTTGACATACTAAAAGACTAATTGTTTGACAAACTAAAAGACTAATTGTTTGACAAACTAAAAGACTAATTGTTTGATGTACTAAAAGGCTAATTGATTGGCAAACTATAAGACTAATTGTTTGACAAACTAAAATACCAATTGTTTGACAAACTAAAAGACTAATTGTTTGACAAAATAAAAGACTAATTGTTTGAGAAACTAAAAGATTAATGGTTTGACAAACGAAAAGACTAATGGTTTGACAAACTAAAAGACTAATTGTTTGACAAACTATATCTTTTAAACTACCAGTAATTCAAGATAAACCTACCCTATCTTCCATAAACATAATTGCAATATATGCTTTCTTAAAATGATGCAACATCCTCATGAACTGTGGTCCAATGTCCAACTTGCCATTCTGGTACTTTGCTGGATTAGGAACATTACCAGTTTCATCAGTTATGGATGTATGATCATTGGCAAGTTGGTGATTAGAAAATGAAGAAACCTTGCAATAATTGTTGTTACCAGGAGAACGAACTTCGTTATTTTGATGGTTTGCAAGCACATGAACCTTTGCTGTATGATGTTTTACATGTGTATAAACCTTGGATGTTTGGTGATTTACAGGAGCATGAACCTTTGAAGTTTGGTGAATTTTAGGTGCTAGAAACATGGCTGGTTGATTTTCTACAGGTGGATGAATTTTGGCAGTTTCCTTATTAACAGGTGATTGAATTGTTGCTAGTTGGTGATTCACTGGTGGACAAACTTTGCTGTTTTCAGATGCATTAACCTTTGCTGTTTGATATCTGAAATACAATGAAAACTGCTTATACAACTCTGATGGCTTCAATTCAATGGGATAATTTACTATCCTACTGCCTGTCGGTACATTTATTTTTGGCATTGCACAAGTCATGTCTTCTTTGACTGTCCATGACGTTAAAATACAAAATCCCTGGGATGTGTTTTAGTTGATTTTAGTCTCTGATGCATGATTTTTTATTATTGATTGTTTTTGGCTTTTAACTAGCTGTCAGTAACTGCGAGTACTCTCAAATTGTACTTTCTTGTTTATTTGACCTGTTGATACTAATTGTAATGCTTTTTTGTTATTTAATGTTTACTTATTCAGGGTTATAACTGGTGTTAATATGTCTTTTGATTGAGTTAAGCCATTTCAATTGATATTTTATAGTGTGTCTTTCTATGTTGTGATGTTACACTATTGTTTCAGATAAGGGTGAAGGTTTGGTACCATTAAAACGTTTAAACCCGCTGCAATTGTTTGCATCTGTCCTAAGTCAGGAATCTGATGTTCAGTAGTTGTCGTTTGTTGATGTGGTTCATAAGTGTTTCTCATTTCTGGTTTTTTATATAGATTAGACCTTTGGTTTTCCCGTTTGAATGGTTTTACACTAGTAATTTTTGGGGCCCTTTATAGCTTGCTGTTCGGTGTGAGCCAAGGCTCCGTGTTGAAGACCGTACTTTGACCTATAATGGTTTACTTTTATAAATTTTGACTTGGATGGAGAGTTGTCTCATTGGCACTCATACCACATCTTCTTATATCCAATTACGATAACTTAGAAAATTACATCAACACAATTAATGCAGACTTATTTACTTTTATTGTTTGTTTAAAATTGGCTGTTATAAATTTTTGAAATTATTTCAAATTAAGGAAATACATCTCCCTCATGCAAAGCTCTAATTCCATGTCCAAATATGGCATTACATTAGGTCCTTTTTGGTTTGATACATTTTTCAGCATTTGTATTAAACTTTGCGTATTCAAATATTTTGGCCTCGAGCATCACTGAAGAGACATTAATGTGCATCTGGTGCATTAAAATTGGTACTGTTTGTGTATTATTTCACCTATCTAGACTGAGTTTGCTGAATATGTGTTTGATCTACCTTTGTTCAAATTTTACAAAATTAATGTAAATTCTGTAGTAAACTATGATCTTTCTTTGAGAGGATTGGAAGTTATGCTTTTACACTTCATACTTGGTATATCAATTTTTCTAATTCAAATTAACATAACCTGAAGGATAAAGATTTGCAAAATACCTGACTAACAATAAATTCTTCCAATTACTTTAGACAATTTACCATTACAATTCAGATATAGCTCAAACAATAACCTAACAACAAAAATTAATGCTTTTGGCATAAAGAAAAGAAAAAACAAGTTGCTTTCTTTAAAAAAAAGAAAAAGCAATACGTGAACCCGAGACCCCTGACTGGTCACCAAATATTTTTTGCTTTATTTATTTTTGCTTTTGATTTGAAATAATTGGATGTTAATAGAATGAGGTAATGAAGATATTAAAACACCTTTATTGAAAATATGTTATTGTGTGTAGATTCTTGCACAAGTCAATTAAAAGCACTGTTGGATTTTAGTTGTAAATAGAAAATTGTATACAGCTACCATTTGAAGTTATCTGTTATGGCTTGAATATTTCATTTATTACTTGGGAGTGTACATAATTTTTTCTCCATGTTTTATGTACAAAGACCTAATCCTATTGCAATTTTCAATTTCTGCAAACCGGATGTCTAAAGCAAATTGCACAGACGGATCAAGATATAAAGTTCAGCACTCAGTTTGCTTCATAATCTGGATGCGGTTATTTTATTTTTCATATCTTCATATTTTGTTTCCTGGATGCTTTATATTATTCTTGTACCCATTGAAGCTGTCTGTACTCATGGAAGAGGTTGTATAGAGAAATTGAAAGTCCAATTTCCATGTGAAGTGTAACTCTGTGACACAAATTAAAAGAATATTTCGTATTTTGTTCTTGAGTGTAACACACCAGCTTTATTAAGACCTCGTATATACTGACAATTGTTTGGTCAGATAAAACATTTCAAATTTTAAGGATTTCCTGAAGTAACTTAAATCAATTCAAAAATTTGACAGGAAGACTTAGTTTTGAAAAATATCTTGTTTCCATAAGTCTTGTGAATACCCAAACATGCACTCAAAAGAACCAATTTATATTTGGTAAAAGTCAATAAACTCAACATGGACACATGGTCAGGATTAAAGTTTTGTAAGCCAGATGCGCGTTACGACTTCAAAACATTAAAAAAAGGCCAAATATAGAACAAAGTTTATGAGCATTGAGGACCCAAAATTCCGAAACGTTTTGCCAAATACAGCTAAGGTAATCTATTCCTCGGGTTATCCTTAGTATTTCGAAAATTTCACAAAGTTTATTATAGGACAGTCACTCAAAAAGAAAGAAAACGATTAGAAAAACAACTAGATGCTGGAGTAATTCAAAGATGAGCATGCTTCAAAATCATGTTAAGCTCTTACTGCCGTGTCCTAGATGTAGATAAGAAATGCAAAAAATCACCTACAACGTGTGAAATCAATGTTTAAGCATGCACATAGTTTTCTTGCGCAAGAAATAGTAAATGGCAAGTACACACACTGATATTCTGGATAAGAATATGCATTTGCGTCATCATGTATATTTATTTAGGTTCAAGTCTAACATGTCTAATGTTAGTTGAATTCGAGTGTCAAACCGCCTACCTCAAGTGGATTGACTCCGGATTCTTTGCCATTAAATCCGGAATTTGTGTCAACACAAACCAATATTGTTGTCAAACCAGATTTTAAATCCGATTTTATTGTGTCATGTGAACAGGGTGTGATAATAAGTAATATTATGTAAATAAACGGCAAGACGTTTATAGGGTAGCTGGTCAACACAATGCATACAATTTTCAAAATCGCACAATCATTGCAAAGATTTAGATGCTATCAGTTTGAACTATTAAAAACAAAAAAAAGAATTAAAATTCAATTAACATACATTCCTAAAAGTTAATAAATCTTTTCCAGAAATTTAAAATATACTATTAATAAACACAAACGTCAAGTATTTACTAATGGCAATTTTTTTATCACATCAATAAATATGAGAAGATGTGGTATGAGTACCAATGAGACAACTCTCCATCCAAGTCAAAGTAAACCATTATCATGATTATAGGTCAAAGTACGGCCTTCAACACAGAGACTTGCACCACACCAAACAGCAAGCTATAAAGGGCCCGCAAAAATTCTAGTGTAAAACCATTCAAACAGGAAAACCAAACTCTTCTTCAATTCTAACTTTGTATTTTATTTCTATACAAAATATAAGCAGAGACTTATCAAACCATACATAAACTGTATAAAATTAGTAACATATACATAGTAATTATGATTATTGTAAAATATTAATCACGTTTAATGTGAAATGCAAGGATTCAAAATTCTTGTGAATTATAACCATGCAACTATTTTTTTCATTCCCTACAGTTTAAACATTAGATACTAATTTATTTGTGTTCATTACTGATAATTCGTACTCATATGTTGCATATGATTTTCATAAATGTATTCACTGTTAAAACCCGCGGGATGATAATATAACATTAATTATATTCTATTAATGATAAATTTAGTTTCATGTTAAACTTTAATAATTCTAATGAATGTTCCCTTGGTCTGTTAGTATCTATTAATAAAAATAAATATTTTAGACACAATACCGTTTTGTTTAATTATCTTTCTGTTTTCCGACCTAAGATAAATATTTTTAACAGTAATATCGTTTTGTTTCAGAAATAATCAGTTTATTCTGGGACATAATTTAATGTCAGTATATTATTCCCATGTGTATGGACAATAGCACTTTGTAATACTACACAAACAATGCGTACAGGGACCGTCTCAAAACATGAATTATATACACTTTCTAATAAAAACGCACATGCAGTCAAAAGCAAATAGGTTGTAATATATAATGGCTTTCTTACTGCAATCTATTCTTTAAATTTTGTATTTTCCAATCTACAAATGAACTTTAATTTTGTTGTTAAAATATTAATACAATGTCATGTGGTAACATATCAATAGAGGGACCATATCAAAGACATATAAATGATCGAAAATTTTCGAGACATTCCGCGAATCTTGTTTCCGAGGATATCGAATGGCCCATAGAAGCTTCCAAAACTCGCCAATATATACCTGAGGGGTTTACGCGAAAACAGTATAAAAAGATCTCATCCATCCTAATTTTTTTCTTTTTAATCTTACAAAAAAATGGACTTCAGTGTCTGTAAATAAGTATTGAACTACAAAATATAATTCCTTATTGGGATCAATCACTATTCACTATCAATTATCAATAGAATTGGTTGAAGGTTACCTTCTAGCCATATCCACACAAAGATTAATTTCCCTGGGGGACTGAACTAAATGGATCATGGTCTGTAGATCATCATGACTTATACTTTCTCCACTTTTCATTTTATTTGACATCTTCAACACAAAAGTCTCTGAAATAAAAATTGAATATTGTCTTTAATTTTTGCCCATTTTTTCACATTTGGCATACATACTGACATGAATTTTGTTTTACTTTGTGCCAATCTGATGAGTCAAGCCCTTTCCAACTGAATTTTACTAGTTTTTCATGTTGTGTTGGCAGGTTAGAGGGAGGGTTAATGCTCAACAAACATGTCTTTCCCTGCCACATTCTTTATCTGCCTGTCCTAATTGTTCAGCAGTCTGTAGATGTTGTTGTTTCTGCATGCATCAGTTTTTTCTGTTCATTTGTTTAAAGCATTGTTGTTTTTCAATTTTGAATTGTTTCAGATTTGTTATAAGGTATGGGTTTTGCTTATTGTTGAAAACTGAACAGTGGCCTTGCCACCTATAGTATTTTACTTCCTCATCCATTAGTCTCTGATGGATAGATGTCTTTTGAGCAATCATACCACATCTTTTTTCTGAAAAAAAGGGAAATGTGGTAGATTAGACTTACTTACTAGGCAAGTTGTCTTAAGAGGAAGATTTCCAATTATTTTGAAATTATTGAGAGGCTCTCATTGATATCTTGAAAGGTTGACACTTGTGTAAAATAAACTCCCAATGAAACTCTCTAGTTATAAACCATGTACCTGATTAAACCAAACACCTGTCAAAAGTAAAATCACAAAAATACTGAACTTCGAGGAAAATTCAAAAAGGAAAGTCCCTAATCAAATGGCAAAATGGAAAGCTCAAACACATCAAACAAATGGATAACAACAAATTTGAACAAAATCTGTCGACCTTCAGGGTTTCAATTAAAAATGGACTCGGCTATAATATGGAGAACATAAATTTCTACCTACTTTTTGAAACCGCATCATATTTTCTTTGATATTCCTCGCATCTCATAAAATATTTATTCATTTTTAGTAATTGGTTATCCATTAAAAATCGTCTGCCTGCAATAATAATACATGAATGAAATTAATTCCATGATGTGCAAAAATATTTTTCATTCTGGAAGCTGATTTTTCTGGTTGATAAAAATGAAATAATACGGTGAAAGAAGACATCAATGAACAGAAGAACAATTTATAAACTTCCAAGAACTTGTAGAGTTTAACAGAAAATAATATCCAAATACATGTACTACAAACAGGGTGTCAAAGGAAGAAGATTAATAAAGCAGTGATATCACAATGAGCAGAAAATAACTCGTCTTGAACGATACATTCTTCCCAACATGCAATTGCATATAATGCAGTGAAAAAGGGCTTTTATCATGAAAACAAACAAACAAAAACAAGTAAAATTTGTAACTCCCACTACTTGCATGCTTTTAAAAAAAGGAGATGTAGGGTATCTGTCAATAAGATTGCAGTTCTATTCTTTTCTACCAAATAGTGACCACCTTCAGACCTTCAACAAATAAAAGATTACTTTACTAGAGAATTACAACAAGAGAGATAAATTATATATGCAAATTAAAACAGAGGAAACATTAATGTAACAAAATGAAGAATATATACATTTAAAAAAAACCCCATGACATCTAAGATTAAAGGGGCATTAACTACGAGATAAAAAAAAAAATAAAATATGATTTTCTTTTGTTCAAACATTAATGAAAGTGAAATAGTGAAATAATAATTTGCTTTTAAACCCAAGGCCATAAAAAAGAATAGGTTTGTTTGCCCTAACCCTACCTACCCAGAAAATATCTGCCTACTCAAAATCTTTTATTGTGCTGATGTGAAGAAGTTTTTTTTTTAATCAGATAGGCATGAAGACTTGAAAACATCTGACGCTTCAATTTCTCTTTGCCGAAAAAAGAAAAGAAAATGCCTACCTACCTACCCACTGTCTCTACCTTAGGGTAGGGTTTGGGCAAACCAAAATATTTTTAGGTGTGGCCCAATTTGGTTCGATTTTGTCAAAATAAGCTAAGAAACATCGCTGATGAATTATTCACTTGCAAGTGAACAATTCGACCTCATTGAATCCGTATTCATGTGACCTTCAATTTAACCCCTTAGCTGGACATGGGCTACGCATGTATTCTGCTATTAAAAGGAAAAGAATGTCAACATTGTAATTGAAACATGGATGAACCATTTAATTGACTAATTCGATCCACAAATTAAATCATTCTTATACAGGTAAAAATGACGATACTTTTTAACCTTCAATATGAAATTAAACAGACCAAGAAAAATCCAATTGCACGTGGTCACTATCTGTTCATATTTATCAGTCAGGGGACTTACTTAAATGAGTGATTTTCTAAATCACTGATTCAAGTAACATTATGTCCATAAGGGTTGGAAGTAAGAGTTGTCTTTCTTTAATAATCACCTATTTAAGTAGTACAAATTAATCACTAAACTAAGTGATTTAATTTTATTGTAGCTTTAAATATAGAATACTAATGATCCAGGGACTAATTATGTTGCTAAAATTATCAGAACCAACATCTGTGTTGATAGGATGACAGGGTCAGGTCAGGTGATGACCTTGTACTAAATCTAGGATAATGACATAAAAATCACTTGTTTAAGTATCATACCTCAATTTCCTTCCAAAAAATCACTTCTTTAAGTATCATTATTTTAATAACCCCACTAATTTCAACACCCCCCCCCCCCCCCGCCCCCCCCCCCCCCCCTGAACAGTGAAATTTTGATGGAGAACAGTAGAATTTTATTACATAATCTATAAGATGAAACCTTGAATGTTACAGGAAAAATACTCCCACTGCTGGGAAAAATCTATTAAGAAAGTATCAGTTCATTATGTAAAGCCATTTTTATAGCATTTTTTCAACTTAAATAGAATTTGCAGCTAAATGATTGCATCAAAGGCATAAACTTTGCTGCTTAAAAGAAGCAAAAAGTTCGTTTTTTTTAAATTTTACTAATAAAAAGATATTATCTAAACCTATGTGTTTAAAATTTTGGTTAAACTACAAAATCACAATTTGTGACAAAACTTCTAATTTGCTACTTAAATAAGTGATTTAAAATAAGTGATTTAAAAATCACTTATTTCAATAAGTCCCCTGACTGTTTATATTTATTTTTATATGGGACTATATGACCGTCGGCAGTCTTCAGAGGTCATCTCGGTGGTTAATTAGATGGCGTCTAGACAAAAATACACACGAAATGTTGATACATATTATTGAGTCCATATATTGTTGATTGTTTATATATTAGACATTTCGTAATTTGGATATACGTTTTAGTATGTTATAAATCAAATATGAGAATTTGTGTCAAATTGGTGAACATGAATTTGACAGCTTATGCCCCTTTAGGTAAATTTGTTGTCTCAAATTAAGCTGATTTGTTTCTTTTTATAATATATGCAATTGGCATAACCTGTCACCAATATACATATACAGTAATATAGGGCTTTTCAAGAAAAGTTTCATTTAAGGTAGAACTCCAGTCAGTTTTTTCTTAAGTTGAGTAATGGTGAGTGGTATTTTATAACAGAACATTATTAAAATTCTGTCGTGTCTGTAGGTGTTATCAAATATAAAAATAGTGTTTTAACTTTTTCCAAAATGAAACTAGAGGCTCTAAAGAGCATGTCACTCATTGAGGACTAGAATAGTAGTCATGAAAAAATCTCTTTTTTGTTGACCTTGTTGTACATGTATTGCTGATCTTTTTTTTTTTTTGATGACAGGATCTCTCTATCTTCTATAGTTTTTGGACAAAATGATTTCAAGATAATAGGCAAAAACACTAAAAATGGGTAATCATCGTCATTAAAGAATAATAAGTCCAAAACATGTTGACTTATTTGTAGATCTTATTTTAAAGAACATTTTTGTTATATATTTTTGCTCTCTAACTATTTCAGTTTATATAAAGTTAAAAATGGTCATTCAGGGGTAATTACTACTGTAAGGAGTCAGTTGAAAATTTCAGCCATGTTGACTTACTTGTAGATCTTATTTGCTGAACATCTTTCGATATTTAAAATTTCACTCTATCTATTATGGTCTCTACAGAAAATGCATAAAATGGGTAAAACCATCTTTCAAGGACAATAACTCCTAAGTAACAGAGGTCAAGTTTACAATTTCAGCAATGTTGACTTATTTCTAGATCAAATTTTGCTGATCATTTTTTCGATTTACACTTTCTCTCAGTCTATCATGGTTCAAAAATTATGTTTCAAAGGCAATAACTCCTATAAGGAGTCAATTGATAATTTCAACCATGTCAATTAACTGGAAAATCTTATTTTGCCAAACATTTTTGCTATATATATATACAGTGTATTTCAAAGCCAATTAATCCTATAAGGGTTCAATTGACAATTTTGCCATGTTGGTTTATTGTAGATCTTATTTTGCTGAACATTTTTGCTTTTACAATTTATCTCTAATGTGGTATACGAAATAGAAGGTAAAAATTGGCTTTCAATGGCAATAACTTCTATAATGGGCAAGGCTTCCAAAACGGTCATATATTCCGGACAATTGTATAATGTCCGGTAAAAGTCCGGCTGGGCAAAGCATGAAACGGTCATCTACTTTTTAGTTGTCAAGGCTTTCTTAAGAGACTTTAGTTGTCAAGGCTTTCTTAAGAGACTTTAGTTGTCAAGGCTTTCTTAAGAGACGGTCATTTTAGCATAATTCACGATCTTTTTGACCCAACCTTTTGCCTTTAACAGCCACACATTTCCGGTCATAAATGTGACATGATGATTAATTACTATCAAAACAACCCCTACTTCAATACTTTCTAATTTTAATCAAGGCTAATTAGTTGTTGGACAGCTGAAATCTACCTGTTCAGGTGACAGGTAAACTATTTCCAGTACCGGACATAGTATAAATTGATCGGTCTATTCAAAGTTAATTTCTTACATTTCAGCGGTTTCTATCTAATTGATTTAGTCCAAAAGATTGAAATTATAAGAAATACGTTTATAAATATGATTTGATGGAAAATTTAAAAAGGTTTTAAATGAAAAATCGTAAGAACTACGTTGACGGTTGTATGAACTAGAACACATGTGCGCATGTGCACAGTAGGGAAATTTAATTATGCATCCTACATTTCTTAAAAAATGATAAAAATTATCATTGATACCTGTATCTAACGTTCATTTCAAGAATTTTGTTGAAGAAATAACGTGGAAAGAGCTTCTTCACTCAGTCGTGCTTTGTAAACGTACACAGATTTTACGTATCCGTTTCTGGTCCAAGTTTTACCATTGTAAGGTCAACATCCGGTATTAGGAAATTATTAATGGGTCAATTAATGATTTCCTCATAAACATTTTAGATGCAACTCCAAAATGGATTGTCCCATATTTCTGAAAATTATATAATTGCTCTAACTGTTTTAATTTAAGAGATAAAGCCAAAATCCTTTTTAAAAAATTGATATTTCAGCCATTCAGGGGCAGAAACTACAAAATGGGTATTGCGATTTTCGGAATATTATACAGAAAATAGACCTTGACGTGCTGATCATTTTTACCTATGTAAGTTTTCTGTAACTGCTTAAGGTTTTTGATAGGTGATTTTAATACACCATAAGAAATTCATAGTTTCCATCTGGGTTTGATTGGAAATCCATTAAATCAACATGTCCTCTACTGTTGAACTCTTTGGATAAAATGGGTTTCACTACTACTCCCTTCCCTAAATACTTTTTCTTCAAGTTACAATTTTCACAAAGTGAAAGAAATAGTTCGATGGAATTACGAGAAGTATTTGCATAGTCATTATTAAGTTGTTTAAATCATACAGTCTCTGTCGACATGATCTGTTGCGTGAGACTTGGCAGCTCTGTATAATTACTGTCTTTTCTGGGGATTCTAAAAGTTAAAAGTTTAAAAGACCATTGTACTGTCTTGGGTATACATGGTATATGTTCCTTATTTTCCCTGATTCAAATTTAGACCGCAAAGATTCAACACTTTTGTCTTCATTAGCATGTCACGTAAATGACAATAATCCAGATTAAGAAGTAAAGAAGACAAGAAGGCAAGGGGATATTTAACAAAATGTTGAACAGCAATTGTTAACATATCCAAAAAAACCAATGGAAAGATGATGTGAGCAAAAATTCATATCTACATATGACTACTATTGACCAGACCAAAACCAGCCCGACCAGTGTTGAAGTGTGAATTTTCTTCAAATAATTTTCAGATAGAATTTTTAATCACCTCTCCTTTCATTAGATACAATCACTTGTTTGGAACATATTAATTTTTGTAATACCTCAAAGAAATACAAATTAATTGTGTTATGAATATGGAAAAAATACTAAAATTTGAAAGCCTGTTAAATTAATGTATATTAATATTTTGAATATAATTTACATCAAGAATATTTCACTGTATGTACATGTACTTTTAAGATAAAACAAAAATCCAAAAATTCACTTATTGCCTGAAGTGATGTTTGGCAATAAGTTGAATAATCATCATCAGATTTCAGGAAATAAACTTAATGCCTAGACGTTAGCTTATTACCTAGGATTTAAGCTTTAAATGCCTAATTTTACTTATTGCTGCTAACATATACATCTTAAAAACTTCTAATAATTTAACTTAGGATGATCATGTGAATGTGTAGGGTGTGAACGGCACCAGGGAAACTTGTGGCGTGCTCACGTATAGGGTACAAACGTATTATGGGAGTGAACAGACCCGATACCGTCTAGAGCATCAAATCCAGAAACAGTCGGATTAACTCCCTGACATCATATTCATTTGGACTGATAGTATATGTATAGTGTATGAAGGAATTACAATATCTTAAAAAATATAAAATTCAGGAAATATTATGATGCACAGATGAACGAAACTGGACATTATCGGGGTGCAAATTATTCATCATTTATCCATGTACCTGAACGTTTATTGTCCTGGTGATATTATTTGATAATTTCAAACCATAGAAAATTGTCAGAAATTATCACATGTACCATTTATAGATCTATGGTTTCGCAGCTACAATGCATTTAGTTCAACTTTTATGCATCAACATGTCTGAACTATTGAAGGTCAAACAAACTCCTAATGTATGCCATTACATTTACTTATATATAACTGCTGATATCTCAACTCAAATTTGGATTAAACTAGGCTAATTGCTTACTTTGGAATGACGGCTGGTGACTGATTGACCATCTCATTATTTGACGGAAAATCGTCCGCATGGTTCATTTTTTATTGGGTCATATTGGTTCGGGAAGAGAAATTAAAATAACTAAACTATAATACTATCTGAGTATATACCTCCTATCTTGTGGAACACCGCCAAAATATGGAAAGGGTTATCAAGAATATCAAAATCCTTAAATTGACGAATAACACAGATTTTTTTCAAGCCAAAGTTAAAAATATTTATAAAAAATGCTATTTCAAAAAATATAATACAAGTTATTTCTCATATGATTGTGGCTTTTTATCTATTTCTTGCTTGAAGAAATATTTCTCTGCTCTGAGTGTGATACAAAAAATGCATTAATTTGATAAGTTTATCCAACATCATGAAAATATATATTATAACAACATTTCCATTGGCTATTCATTAGGTCATTGATGATTTTCATAGTTGTAAACGATGTACATTTATTCTATAGCCAGTGTAGAGAGATATTTGATTTCTTCCATCATATACAAAACACTCACAATTTTCACCTGCAAATCCACAGGCACTTGTCTCAGAATTTTTTCCCCCCTATATACCCTATATTTTTGTATATAGGATTTTTTTTTCTGAGACAAGTGCCTATGTGCAAATCTTATTATTGTCAAATTTTATTACATTCTGGAAACATAAAAAAACTTTTAACTGAATGTTTTATGTTAAAGCTTGATACTGCAGGACGTATGACGTCATATTGGTCAGTCTGTGCAAAAAGAGAGGCGAAAGATACCAAAGGGACATTCAAACTCATAAGTCGAAAATAAACTGACAACGCCATGGCTAAAAGGAAAAAAAAGGCCAACAGACAAACAACCGTACACAAAACACAACATAGAAAAAACTAAAGACTGAGAAACACGAACCCCACCAAAAACTTGGGGTGATCTCAGGTGCTCCGGAAGGGTAAACAGACCCTGCTCCACATGTGGCACCCGTCGTGTTGCTCATGTTAGTACAAACCTGGTAAAAAGTCTAATTCACGGAAAAGGGGACTGGATTGTACTTACAATTGGAACATATCCTCTATCATATATGTGAAACGGATATTCCTTAATGGTCAACCAACTCGTGATGGCGTCCGTAAAATTTACGAAGGGATGATTTCAAGCGATATTACGTGAATAGAAAAAAATAAATGACAGAATTTTAATACTGAAAAAATGGGAAGATATCTATAAAATGTTTTTAGAAATTAGAACAAAAAACGGGTTCACCTTATTTTTTTCCTTGCTATAATACAAAATAGAAATACATGGAGAATGTGTGCATGGGACACAGTTGATGCCCCCGCTTGCATATAACATTATAATGGACATAACTCTTAAACAGTTAAAGTGAAGCCACCCAAATTCGAACTTGATCTGTGTTTTGTGGTAATAAGCATTGTGTATAAGTTTCATAACATTTAGTTGAGGCAAACTAAAGTTAGAGAACAGAAACTAAGTTTGGGACGTACGTACGAACAAGGGTAACACTTACCGGGGTCGCCCCGATATTCCGACGCCCCATTAGACCGACACCCCACTGGTCCGACACCCCATTAGTCCGACGCCCCAGTAGTCCGACATTGGTTAAGTACTGCTATAATAGAAAATCTACTTAAGTTCATGGAATCGTTGCTGACGTGGTATTTGAACTACTATTTCTTATAATATAAAAATAAGGAGATGAGGTATGATTGCAAATGAGACAACTATCGACCAAAATTTAAAAAAAAGTGGATGTAAGCAATTATAGGGCAACCGTACGGCCTTCAACAATGAGAAAAACCAATACCGTATAGTCGGCTATAAAAGGCCCCGACATGAAAAATATGAAACAATTCAATTGAGAAAAATAACGGCCTAATTTATCACAAAACAATTATCGAAAAACAAATATGACAGACATGAACCACCAACAACCACTGAACTACAGACTCCTGACTTGGGATAGGCACATAAAGAATGTGGCGGGATTAAACATGTTTGTGAGCGCTCAACCCTCCCCTAACCTGGGACAGTGGTGTAACAGCACAACATAAGAACAAACTATAAAAATCAATTGAAAAAGGCTTCACTCGTCAGATCGATACAAAGCTGAAAAACATCAAACATAAACACAGACCGGACGTGGCAGGGTATTTTTCATCCCTCATTGTAGTACCGTTAAAGTGCCTATGTGTATAACAAAACTATTTAGTATGATTTTAATTTACTGATAACAAAATCAATATGTATACCAATAAAAACAATATTCAAAGATCTAATTACAGTGTTGAATTGGTAACCTTTTAGAATAAGTTTATTTAAAAGATTGATAAGTTTATCCGGATCGTATAAAAATTTCCGGGCTCGGTAAACAACATTACCGTAAAATTTAGGTTGTGCTATTCCGTCTGAAATAATTTTTTTACAGGTACAGCACAACTTGCAAACCAAATCTTTGTATCGATGGAAGAATTTAGTAAAGGTTTTAAGTAATTTGTGGTAACGAAATCCGCACTGACTTAATAAGTTACCAGTAATATACATAGATTACGCTCATTGAAACCCAAAACGTCACTACAGGCACGGGCAGAACGAACGAGTTGGGATATATAAACACCGTAAGATGGTGCCAGAGAAACATCACCGTCTAAAAAAGGAAAATTAAAAATTGGGAATGAAAAATCATCCCTTTTGTCGTAATTTTTTGTGTAGAGTTTCTGGTGTAAAACTGGAATATCTAAGTCTAGGAAAGGACACTTATTGCTCTTAATATTTGATTTATTTAAAGTAAGTTGCAGTGGGTAAATTTCGGCAGTATATTTAGAGAATTCTTGATTATTTAACAAAAATTATCATCAAGATAACGGTATGTGTTGTTGAATTTATCAATTAAATGAAATTTAGACGGATATTCACTTAGTTTGGCCATAAACTGTGATTCATAACTGTACAGGAACAAGTCTGCAATTAAAGGGGCACAATTGGTGCCCATAGGAATACTTACAATCTGTCGATAAACTTTATTGCCGAAACGTACATAAGTGCATGTTGTCAAGGAGAAAATTTATGGCTGTAATCATCTCATCACACCTCCAGTAAGTATATCTAGCATATTAACCTTTCTCGTTTGAGAAAAAAGGCTTTATATGAGTTGCAGCAAATAAATTTACAATTCGATTTATCGAACGACCATTTAATTAAATAGGAAAACTTTTTTTTGATAAGATTGTGTGGAAGTGTAGTGGAAAGAGTGGAAAAGTCAAAACTGTCAACCGAATCAAAAGGACCATCACAAGCACGTTATCTATCTAAAACATCCAAGTGATTTTTTTACTCAAAAAATGGTTAATTCCACTAATTTCGCATGTTTTTTTTATAAAAATTAATGATCAGTTCTTTGACAGTAGTTAAGGAACTCGTTAAAAGCACTGACATTTTAGTAGTAGAACACTAAAAGAGACCGAGATGAAACGATATATTACGGGTTGTTAGTGTAGTTTAGGTAACCAATATATAGTGGAGACCTTCAATTGTTCAGAAGAGACCTTATAGCCTAGTCAATTTAGCTCTAAAATCGCTCAACCTGCAACTAATTGCAACACAAGGTTTTTTAGCGCAAATTATAATATAGACTTGTACTAACAACATACTAAAACTATACATTGATATGATTTGCGGAAAAGGTTATTTTGGGGTGAAATATGTGGTTTTTAGAGAAAATATGCTGAAAACTGGAAAAGAAGAAAAATTGTTATTTATGGTTACATTTTTAGACCTAAAGCTTGTTGAAGACAGGAAACCTTATCTTTATCGAGTATTATGTAGTCCTCTAGTTATTATTATTCATATTGAAGTAATTTTGAGGTGAAATGAGTGATTTTTAGTGAAAAAACGCTGAAAACTGGAAACGTAGAAAATCTCCGTTGTTAATGGTTAATATTTTTGAAATTTGATCTATATAGAAAAAAGAACATACTATTCTATGTTTTATTTGTGAAGTCCTTTAGTTATCAATATTAATATTTGGGTAATTTTGGTTGAATATATGTTTTAAGACCGAAAACCCGGAAAACTGGAAATGAAGATATCTCGGTTATTGATGGTTAAAACTTTCAAATTGGGATCTTAACAGAAAATACAGAATACTATCTGATGTTTATCTTAAGAACTCCTATAGTTATTAGTATTTAAAAAATTGTAATTCTTGTGTAAAATGTGATTTGTAGAGAAAAATTGTGAAAAATGGAAATAAAAAACTCGATTATTCATGGTTAAAACTTTTAACATAGGATCTTTATAGACAGACTATATTATCTTATGTTTATCGCATATGTATTCCTCTTGTTATCGATATCAATAATAATCAATTTCTTGTGTGAAATATTTGTTTTACACACTAACTACAAAAAACAAGAGTATATCCATAGTACACGGATGCCCCACCCGCGCTATCATTTTTTATGTTCAGTGGACTGTGAAATTGGGTCAAAACTCTAATTTGGCATTAAAATTAAAAAGATCTTATCATAGGGAACATTTGTACTAAGTTTCAATATGATTGGACTTCAACTTCATCAAAAAATACCTTGACCAAAAACTTTAACAAAACAACTTTAATCTGAAGCAGGACAGACGGACGAACGAATAGACGCACAGACAGAAAAACATAATGCCCCTAAATCTTGGTTATTTCTAGTTTGATTTTTAAAAACGAAAAAATGGAGAATGGAAACAGGGAATGTGTCAAAGAGAAAACAAGGCCACTAATGGGTCTTGAACATAGCAAGTAAATCCGGCACACGGAGGTGGGCTTCAGCTGACCCCTTTATTATTTTGTACACTAGTTCAGAAAAATGGACACCACCCTAAACTCCAGTACATACAAATGAACCAAAATTATCACCAAAAAAACCACACACACAAGACAAACAAAGGCTAGAGGTTCCTGACTTGGGATAGGTGCAATAATGTGGCAGGGGTAAAACATGTTGTGTGAGAACTCAACCCTCCCCTAGTTTCTCTAGATACTATAGAATAAACAAACACACAGTAAAACTCAGTTT